AATATCGGTTTTTTGTACAAAACTATAGACTTAGTATTTTGACTTCACAAACATCTAATATGAACCAGTGCTGCATTTAACATACCATGTGACACACAAGAATCGACGTTTAACTGTGTTTGTTTAATATTTGCTTTTAAATTAAGAAATTGAGTAATATATAGTACTAAAATTTGAATTATAATCTACAGTTTGATTCCAAACTGATTGACATAAATTCAAGAAATAGCGGTTCAATAAAATTATGAATGTGAGTCAACAAACAAGATGACATAGCCTTTCACCTGTGACCCATCTCGAAAAGGTTAATACTAGAATTAGTAATTACTAGCACAAACAGCTGTTTAGGCAGCATTTCTCCTGGTATACATAAGCTAGTATTTTAGAACAAGTATTACTGGACATTAATCATTATAAACAAAAGTACTGTGAAACTTAATAAAGGAGAGTTTAAAGCCCATAAAATCTCCAGAAGTGTACATTTAGTACATGAATGAAAATGGTAAAAATTGGGAACAACTCCCTAACACTGAACACATTTTTCTATAAATTTATATCAAACACTTCTATTACTCTCTTACAGTTTCTAAAAGTGAGGAAAAAAACAACAACAGAATATTTACCCTCATCAGCAATATGTTGATCCCAGTCATAAAATTTAGTGGTTGGGGAGCTAGCAAGGCGGTATCTTTCACCCCATCTAAATAGATCTCTTAGAGTACCATACCCCTGTTTTCCAGCAAAAACACCACTTTCTCTACGTCGCATCTAACAATTTGAAAAGAAAAAAAAGTAAAAATTACATGGTTCAAAGATTTTTAATCTCATAAAATCTAGTACTCAAACTATTTACAATGAATGTGCTATAAATAAGTAGAAGTAGAAAGTTAGTGGAAGTATTAAACATCATTATCATTTGTAATTCAGTAATTTTCAAAGTGAATAGCTTATTTCTTTCTTTTTTTTATAAACTACTCAGTGTCAATAATTGTTTGACTTCACTAAACCATTCCATAAGGTTTATTTCTACTTCACATTATTTTATGAAATAATGATGCAAAATCCAACAAATCTATGACAGAAAGACTTATAGATAGCCTTTTGTGATGGGAAATTTAAGTCTTGCATCTTTAAAAATTAATAATAATAATAATAATAATTCAGAGATTAAAAACAGTAGAGTGCAGAGAAAAAGCTAACAAATGAACTAGTAAAAGATAAAAAAAATTCTCTTTTATTAAAAATTTCTCAGATGTTCATAGCTTAGTACAATAATTAATCATTTTAAACTCAATTGAAAATTTTTAATTTCCCATTAATCTTCAAACAAATAAATAGTATCCTTAAGATACTTGAAATTTTTAAGCACATACAAAAAATGCATCACAAAGATGAGTGTGTACACAGATGACACTATACCTGCAAATCATGCATTACAGCAACCAGTTTCTTGCAATATGACAAAGGGAGATCACATCGTTGATGCAAGATAGTCTCTAGTTCTGGTTGAGGGATTTCAGTGAAATGAAGCTCAATGAAACGATTACGGAAAGCTCGGGAAAGAACCTAAGATTAAAACAAACTTGTTTATATGTTATTCACAATTAGACAGTGGTGAATTAGAAAATCTAAAATTATACAGTTTAACTGATACTGAAGTATATTATGAATATAGTAGTTCAGAGTTTTGTGTTATTTTACGATGTGGTAATCAAACTGTCAGAATTTAAAAATCTGTTCTTTGCCAATTGTATTGAATTTGACAAGTATTCTTGATTCTCTTACTTCTGGTAGCAGCATCCATAGTGCCAGTCACTCTTTTCTTGTTTCTTACCAGCACTGTCTTTGTAAATGGCTCCAGCTGGTTTATGTTGAGGTTTCTGCAATGTGCCCCGAACATAACACACATAACATCTCTTCTCCCTTCTGTCTAGTAACCTCCTGTCACCTTTGGTAAACTCCTGCTTCTGGTCAGCCATTACTGGTTTCAAGTTTAACTGGACATTTTTGGACTTGCCAGTTATACTACCTCCATGAGCTTCCATATACTGTTCTACCAGCTTGATCATCTTGTCTACATCTTTTGGTGCTCTTTCCTTTAAGAACAGTGACATGTCAGTTGAACACGTGGTCATGAACTGTTCACATACTAATAGGTCTGCCAGCCCCTCAAAACTATTTTCACACATGGCCATGTTAGTCCACCTGGTGAAATATTGCCATAGATGTGCCACAAACTGAAATACATTTTCTCCAGTGTCTGTTTAACTCCTCTAAACTTCCAATGAAAACCTTCTTCGGCAAGTTCATATCATTTCAGTACAGCTACTTTTAATTTATCATAATCCATGGCATCTTCTGACATCATGCCTGCATATACTTGTAGGCCTTTTTACTGTGACAAGTGGGCTGAGATAGACTGCCCAGTCACCTTCGTCCCAGTTCTGACTTTGGGCGAATCTTTCATATCTCTCCAGGAAAGCATCCATGTCAACTTTATGTTCATCAAATTTGGGCAGCTTGGGTCAGCTAGCCCTGACTCCATTGTCATTCTTGGGTCCTTCTTTTGGTTGGGTGAGTTTTGCTATCTTAATTTGTGTTCTTATTCTCTCTATTTCTAGTCTCTCCTCTCTCTCTTTTTCTTCAATTTGTATTATCATTCACTCTATTTCTAGTCTCTCCTCCCTTTTTCTTCTTTCAGACTTTCTCTTTCTCAATGTGTCTCTTCTGTTGCCATTCTTTTCTTTTCAGTTCTTGTTGTTGTTTAACAAACTCTCTTAGGTCACTGTCTTTTAACCAAAAGTTGAGATCCCTTTTCTACCAATTTATCAAAATCTGTTGACATGGTTATACAGCATAATTTTAATCTTCAATATTTTCGTTACTACCACAATTGTGTGTATATAGGTGGGCCGCAACAACAATGAATTACTAACAAAACTTCTATAATAATCTGTTTTTAACTCTTATTATAACAAAAACTAAACAATAATAAAACATTCACTAAATTAATACTATCTGAATGAAAGTCTCTTATATCATGACACAAACAAAGCAAAACTGTAAATTTTTCATAATTAAAACTGTTATTTTGAAATGAAAATGAGGAAAATGGTGCAATAGAAAGAAAAAAAACATGAAGCATTTTAGATTTTACACTTTAATAAAATGTACACACCTTTACTTATTAATAAAAATTTCAATATAAATCATAATGTCTTATTGAGGTTGGAATATTCATCATCTGATGTGCTTTTCCTTGCTCCTTACTGGATTACTGAATAAGAGAAATTTAGGAAGAAAGAAGAATTTGTTCTCTTTGTTCCTATGTACATCTTTAGATAATTTTACTTGCTACTTACAGGAATTCTTAATGAGAAAAGATGAACCTGACTTTCTTATATCTTTAGATATTTTACTTGGCTGTTGAAAGATAATTTACCTGTCACTTATACAATTCATGTGATTTTCACATTAACATACATTCCCTCACTAATCTGAACAAACAGTTTCAATAACAGAATAATGATATTTCATAAAACAAATTTTAAAATGTATCAAATGCAATAAAAGCAAAATTTAACTCAAAAACTGTATTTCATTCAATACACATTTTACTCCTAAAACTTTATCCAATTCACATTACTGTAAACTTTAATTCTTGAAACATTAACAAAATAAAATTTACCTTAGTATCAACATGGCCTTAATATTCAGTTTTGATACAAAAAGCATTATCTATTAGCACAGGTTCAAATACGATTTTTTATAGGAACTTTTATGTATTTATTGAGTTAGATGACTATATAACTAGAGATATGTCAAAAATTTGGTGTATTTTAGGAAACTTAAAAGATTAAAAAGTAAGTCAGTATCAAACAAGAAATATGTATTGAATTTGTTTCACACAGAAAATTTCCCTAATATTCACCTTCCTTCCTCCATAATGACCTGGTGGATTCTGAGTAGCAAATAGCATGAAGCGGGGATGAGCTCTGACAATTTGCTGAGTCTCTGGGATAAACAATTCTCTGTTATCATCAAGTACCTACAAATAAAATAAAAAGTTGTTATTCTACTTTAAACAAATATTTTTTACAACATTAGCAGACATTAGAAGTGATCAGAAATTATATACATCTACAGTTTCTCTCTTGAAAAAACACACTTAATCTTCAAACTTTCAGCTAATTTTTAAAACAGATATTACTGTTAACTTACAATCTCAAGAGCAATATTTTTACTCAGATATAAAAATGTATGAACACAAACTATGGAGATTAAAATATAAAAACAAATGCCTTCAGCAAGTTGTTTATAAAATTCTAAAAAAGAAGTCATCAAAACATTGATACACAAAGAACTGATATGATCATGATTTTCCATCAAAGAATACAAGCATACAGAACAAAATGAAATAACACCATATAATACATATTTCCAAAAACCAGTAGTAAAGGAAAGGTAGGGAAGCATATGTACCTATACATTAACACGTATTCAATGTACAAAACAAAGCATTTTATATTATTTAAGAACAAAAAAGCATAAAATAGATGGCAGAATCCACTCACCATCCCAAGGAAAAAGGAATTCTTCACAAGTGGAATGCCTTGTGCTACAATGTTTTTAATTATCTGTTTAACCACTCAAAACGTAACAAAACTGGTGTACATAAGTTGTATTGTGCTGTTTTTTAATTCCACATTGTATGTTCATAATCAAAATTGTTGGAGCAATAAGTGAGCCAAACATCAGGGGAAAACAGATACTGACATCATCTGTGGAAAATTTACTAAAACCACCTGCACATAGTATTTGAAATTTACTGTTATCAATGCTTAAAAGAGCCAATCAATTTTAAAATAGCATGAGTAATGGAGCCCTCAAGTATATATTTTAAATATAGTCCTTGGAAGATTTTTATCTTCTGCAAACTGATAATGGGTAAAAAATATAAAAAGTAACAAAATGAGCTATTGCTTTAATAACCCATGAAAAAGATTTACAATATTTAATGAATTTAAGTCTTAAAAAACTATGGTGCTATAAAGAAAAATTAAAGAATAGATTAAACAACTGTAAAGTTTTTTAATATTTGTATTTTAAGAGGATGATGTTTTGAGCTAGTGCTCTTCGGTAGATCATATACCTTACAACAATCACGATCTGTACAATCTGACAAAGAGTGCTAGCTCAAAATGTTATCCTCTTAAAATAAAAAAATTGGCGATTGTTTAACCTATTCTTTAATTTCAATATCTTTGTTGCCTATGAGGTTAATTATATGTTTCTTGGTATAAAGAAAAATGTCTTGTATACATTCATCTTTATAATAACCTATCATATACATTTTGTGCCTGACAACTTACTCGATTTAAAGCCTCCAACACTTCAGTAGGAGCTAAATTCAGTTCATCTAAAATTATCCAGTGACCTTGCTTCATGGCTTCCACTAAAGCACCTGAAATAAGAATTTTTCATATGGTAATTTCTTTTATTCTCCTTGTTGTTTAACATTATACACCAAGTTTTTTTTATAGCATACATTTAAAAAATATTACAGTCAGTAATATTTATCTTGTTCATCAAATAAATATTTAAACATATGTAAAATTAATCAATAAAAGCTAACATACAAACTTAATATCCAGGACATATTAAAAAAAACAAGTAATGATTTTTTTATCATCAGTGTTTTAAAGCAAGTTTTACCAATACACTTAAAATTTTACATTGACCACAATATTTTAACACAAAAAAAACAAAAAACGTACACTTAAAATTATTAAAAAAAAAGTTGTCCAGGTGGAAACCATATCATATCACAGAAAACTTCTACCACTTAATAATGTTAAAAATAGCTACTAAGCTTTTTTTTTGCATACAATACCTTCTTTAAATACAAGTTTTCCATTTGCATCAGAACTGTAAGTTCCCACATATTCTTGAAGATCAGTGTGTTCATGGTTATTAACACGAATACAATGATTTCCAGTTGCATGAGCAAGCCAGGTAATTAAGCTAGTTTTACCAACTGATGTTTCTCCTTGTAATAAGACTGGATGTCGTCTGAAATTACCACAAAACAAAAACAAAGTTATTTACAGCTATTTATTTATTTGCTCATTTTTATTATAATATTCTTCACTGTTGAGGTTATCTAACTTGAATATTGATAAGTCACACATTTTACATGGCTACTTTTACTACTTTCTGCTGTAATACTTCAAACTATTCTGCCATTCACTGTGACATATACACTTAGGCTATTGTGGTGTGATGTAATTAATCCATTGATAAACCTTACATAATAAAATATTGGGAGTACGTTTTTTTTAACCTAGCCCATTAGTCATATTCATTAGCAATTGAAAATGTCTACTATCAATTTACAATAATCATTAGAAAATGCAAAAACATTTCCAGTACAGTAAATTTCACTTCCTATAATAAAGTTGGCTCTCTCTCTGTCTAACGAAACAAAATGAAATAATCAACTCTCACTAGCAAACCCAAGAGTAGTGAAGCACAGTGATAACAATCGCACCACTGACAAAATGAAACAAACATATATCACTATAAAACTGTAAATTTATAACCTCAGTTAGCATGAGGTAGTTTTATAAAATATAAGCATTGTATATTTTATATAAAAATAAGCTTAAACACAAATACAACATGCACACTTAAAATGATAAGCTACACCTAAACTATAAAAACGTCAATTTTCAATTCCTTGTATAAAATAAAAAGAGAAGATGAACTTTTATTACATAATAATTTTTTTTATATTTTCCAATTTCTGTAGACCATAACTTTCACATCACACAATGATATACCTCTTATTCCTACTTGTATATTTCACATAAAAATAATTCATGCTTAGCATACATATACACATTAAATGCACAAAACATAGTGCCTTATATTTAAGAACAAAACAGCTTAAGATAGATGGTACAATCCACTCAATAACCCAAGAAAAATAAACGTAATAAAAATGTATTTAACTTGTTCATTTCTTTAGATTATATACTTTTCTTTAGTCTTTCCAAATGCATATGTAAAAAAAAAAAGAACCAATCAATTAAAATTGCATGTGAAGCATATACAGTTATATACACACATTTGATTTTATGATGTTACAACTGCAGTTGAAGAAAATAAAAAAAGAAGTTTTTACCAAACATTTTATTATCAAAAATTGTATTTCAGTCTTCTACTGATTGCTTCTCTGCAAATCATCAGATTCTGCTCGACTATAAAGTTGATAAATTAAACTCAAATGCTCTAATGCCTGCATCAGTCACACCCAAGGTTATCTTCCTTGCACAAGTCAGATTGTTACATTCTATGACACATCCATATCTATTAGATATACAACCTAATAAGTCAAAACTTTTAAAACCTAAGATATCTCCTTCATCAATAAAAAGATTTACTATATAAACATATACATACCTAGCTGCTACTACTCTTGCTAAATCTTTAAGATTACGCCTAACAGTTGGAGTTAAAATGTAATTTTCCAAAACAAAGGGATCATTGGGTCCTCGAAGAATCCAGTATCCCTCAAAACAAAGATGTGTATCACCAGGGGGTGGTGGAAGCCGCTGTTTGAAATGAGATTCTAGTTTCTGCTTGCCCAAAATATATTCGGATACAAGTTTCTCAACAGAAGAATGAGAAATTTGATCAACTTGAGTCAAGAAACTCATACAAAAAGCCTATAAAAACACATAAAACTTTTGAAAATTCAGATTTATAATTTGTAGTTTCTTAAACTGTAAGAAGTTTTCTGTTATTTACAAGATTGGTCAAATAATTTTATGAAGTTAAATTTTTAGTAACTGGAAGGATAGTAACTTTCTTGCCATTAAATAAAACCTTCAAAATTAAAAAAAGCATGTAACAGAAAAATTATCTTCTAACTTAATAGTTACAAAATAATTCCTTATATATGCCCTTATGGTTATATTTCTAAAATAAACACATTATTAATATTCTAAATAAGTAAGATAGCTTTTATTGTCTTTACCAACTACTACATGAATAGAAGACAACTAAATGACTTTTTTAATCTCTAAGATAATCTTTTCAATATAACTTAAGTCCTTCAACAACTTTAAGTTTAACATTAATTTCCAAATATACAGTTTCTCTTTTCTGTGTAAGTATGATTACAATACAGAGACCAAACTAAAATCATTACCCGTAATAATAATACTCTGGAACTATCATATGGATACATTAAGTTCAATATATTATTAATTCTGAACACATAAAAAAAGTCTGCTTCATTTTCCACATTCAAGATTGTTTGTAAAACAAACATATTCACTTTTTTTAGAGCAATAACTGAGTTTACAATACATATGGATGCAATTTATTGTGTATTATTTCACTATCTTAAAAAATTAAAACTTAATGAATGAAGCTCAAATTATTACTTAACAAACACAGTTATTACTGGCAATATGTAACCTTTTTTAATTGATTCTATGTGTCAAGTGAGTTAATTAATCTTAAGTGTAAAGAAAGTATTTTATTTTATAAGGTTGTATCAAAACAATATGATAAATATATGTGTGTGTGTTTGCTTTTACAAAAAATTCTAATTTCGAAAATTTTTTATTACTAAATTTTATAAAAACACATAGTAAAGTATTACCTCATACAAAGATCGAGATACACTCAGAAATGGATTGGCTGATGCATAACTCAAGGCTCGACAGAGAGTCCTCAAACTAATGAAAAAAAAAAGCTTCATATATCAACTACCAATTTCAATTCCTCATAGTAAAAATTAATGACAATTATATGCTTAAATATCACTTAAGAAGCCTACATATAAGGTAAATCATAAAACAATATGCAAAAAAATAGCAGCTGAATTTACAAATTCAGAGGGAACTAAGATTTGCCATGAATAACAGCATATTCAATTAAAAGCTAATAAGCTATTAATATGTAAAAACATTCTTCTGAATATATAAAATAAAATAAAAATGCTGCAAAGAGGTTAGAACTCTGAAAAACAAAATTAACTCGGGTATAAATTCCAAATGATCCTAATGCTAAACTTAAGGTTTCAATGATAAAAGCTGGTGAAGTATTGAAAACTAATATGCCTATTAATGGCTGGAGATGGCTTGAATGGGTAATGAAAAAAAACTTTAATATAAGTTTAACAGCAAATGTACAACGTTTCGACAAGGTTTTGTCATCATCAGGTACCTTTTTTTTTCATTACCCATTCAAGCCGTCTCCAGCAATTATTAGTCTCAAAGTGGGTTCCTTGTCATCGAATTTTAATATGCATATCATTTCTGACAACAATCACTATAGACTGTAGATGTTTATGTGTTTTCTAATATCACGATTAAATTGTCCATTACAAGTATCCAATCAGAGGTGTGTAAAAATAGTATTTCATGTCTATCTTTTGCCTTCTACAAAGCAGGCAGCCCAGGAGGCCTTTGGTTCAATATCAGAACTTATTAGCTGGGTTGAAAGGAGAGAGACAAACGTTTACCTGAAATATTGTTTATATATATGCAATACAGTAATTTTAAATTAACAGTTTGAATGCTGAAAGCCAGAGAAGCACTGAAAACCAATAAGCCTAATATAGATGATAAAAATCATATCATTACTTCTGTGGCTAAGCATGCTCAGTAAAGAATTAGGCCTAACTTCTGTGACTTATGTTTAGTACTGAGTAAAGTCTTATTGTTGTGATTATACAAGTTCAGTAAAAAGTCTAAATGGTATGATTATGCATCTTCAATATAGAGTTAAATGTCTAAAAACTTTCATTACAAAGTAAATTTTTTAAAAGACTTGAGTCTCACTGATGTGATAAGCTATTCTGTAAATTAAAATATTCAGTTCAGTTTGATATTAACAAAGTTAATGTCTTTGAATTTTTCTGTGTTAATAAGATACCGATTAAAACAATATATTTATCTAATTTACATTGTATATCATGATATACACTCTACCTGTAGTGAGGGTGATGACCTGTGCCATCAGTCAGGTGCTGAAGGGCTTTACCTTTGATGTGTAAATAAAACTGTACAACACCCTCAATCATCTGTGATGTTAATGTCAAACTTTGGAGATAACTTTCTATCAGAATACGCAAGTCAGATTTATCCTCCAGTTCCTCCATGTAGAATTCAGTAAATCTGTTTCCAATACAAGAAAACTTAAGTAAACATTAACAGTAAGAAAAATCGCAATGGTACTAAAAATAAACTTTTCATGATCTTTATTAATAAAAAATACTGAGACTGTATTATTTGTCAGATTTCTGAAAAAAGGGTTTAATGTAGATAAATATTCAGAAAGCTTCTCTTATAAAAGAAATATTTTTTTTTTGCTTTTGGAATTACTCTTTTTAATGATAGGTAATTTTATTAGACATTTACATTCAGCTTGGTTCTATAAATTTCATTTATGAAATACTTTTATTTTGCTCAAATTAACTTAATACTTTCAAATTAAAGCTGCAAAACATCACTCCAAAGATAAAAAAAAAAAAGATGGCAGGAATCAATAATAAAAAGAAATTTTCAGTAACCTGTTTCTGACACCAGGTGGCAGATCCTTTTTCCCTACATCAGTAGCAGGGTTCATGCAGGCAAACAGTCGAAAATCAGGATGTCTCTTCAGTAGTTGGTTGTCACTGAAATAAAAAAAAGACTAGCACTTAAAATAATTTTTCCTTCACAATGTACAATTTTTTCTATACAAACTACTGGTAGTTTATCCATATAAATTAAACCAAATTAATGAAAAATAGCAATATTCAGTGTTGCTAGTTTACTAAAGCTAGAAAGTTTGAGTCAACATGCATTTGGCATCTGATAAAAATAGTCTACTTAAACAACTGAATTGAGGTTGCAAAACATTAAATAGAGGAGCTTTAACTATCACATTATTAACTTTCACAGATCAAAACATAAGATAATTATCTGTACAGTGTTTACTTCATTTTTCCAAATAGTAGTGTAATGAAGCTTAAAAAATTACCTGTATCATCAATCATACATTTGAGTCAACTGATAGTTTGAAACACAAAATAATCTGAAGTTATATATACTACACAATCTAAACAATTAATTAAATCTATTTTATTCTATTTGTATTTGCTCATATATTTTTTTATTTCAGTCTAATTACACATTATTTTACTTCATCATTCTTATCAAATTACTCAATATCATACATATTTACATGTATTAGAAAAATTATGGAACAGCATACCATGAGAAAAAGACTTACATTCTGAAGCTGCAGCTCTAATTCATTTGGGTTTGAACACATATTAGGAGTTAATCATAGGTAAAGCTGTTTAACTAACACTTGCTACAAACTGTTGGAACACATATATTGAAACAGACCAGAATTTCTCTTGCAATGAAATTTTAGGGGTATTTCAACTTCAGTCCTCCAGGTAGCATTCCAAAACATCCCAAGGTATTTCAATGTCAGGGGTAAGGATTGACCATAGCAACTTCTAGACATCATTTTCCTTAAGTTACTGCTTAATATGGCATGATAAATAATTATACTGAAGCTGGTTCCATCCTTCCTGATTGAATTCCATCAGTGCATGCAATTCAACATTGTCCAGAATATCAAATACAAAAAACATTAATGATACCCTTAAATATTACCCACATTCAATAAAACAAAAATAGATCAACACCACAATTTTGTTCCATCAATCTTCATGGTTCCAATTAAAATTACACCTTCACTATTCACATCCAAAGTATTCTCAAAGTTGTTTTCAAACCCAGACCAAATGTCCAAAGTCCAAAATGAGTAGAAGGATTCATCATGCCCAATGATCTTTTGCCATTCTTTTTCAACCCAATTTGAATGCTCAAAGCACCAAGTTTTGCACTTATGGCTGTGACAAGTGGCTCATAAAATGCAGATCATTTGTGAAATCAGTGTACACTGTAAACATATTTATAAACACACTTTTAAACTCACCCTCTTTCCAAGAGAAGCATGCTTTCACTGTTACCATCTAAAATTCCTCCCAGACATTCCTCTAGAGTTTCAGCTTCTGCAAGGTTAATTTCATCTAACAGTATCCACTCTCCATTTTTCATGGCTTTCACCAGACTTCCCTTGAAAAAGAATAATGCAAGCAGACATTAGTTAACTCAGTCCAAATGGACTCAAAATAAGTAACTTAGGAACTGTTTGAAGTTTTACTTTATATTTATTCACTTCTTCACAAAATACAATACTATCATTCAACAGTTTTAATGAAGTAATGTTATATTCTGCACCATTTCTTAGTAAAAATGCTAATATGTAATATATTTTACTATATTTCACAGGAAGATCTTGGAGAACTTTTATTTTTTAAGGAATATAAAAATAGCAATTAATCTAACAACAAAAACAAATTTGCACAAATTCTGCAGCAATACCATTTTTATAAAATAGATGATAACTTTTACAAATCTCTTAAGATTTCTAAAGACAACTTGTTTAATTTATGATTGGATACTCAATAATGAAGCATCATAAAGACAGCACTGTGTTATTAGGTATGTCATAATTAGTGATCTGGTATGCTAAAAATTGAAAGGTTTAGCCATAAACAGTTTAAATTAAACAGAAAAAGAATGTAATAATAAAAGTTCGTTTTTGGTACCTCTATGAAGTTAAAAGCTAAGGCATTTTCTGCTTGCTTCACTTGTACTTTATACTGATGTATCTTTTGCCCAAGTTTCAACCATTTTTCTTTTGTATTTTGTGTTTCTTCTGTGGGTTCTTGTGAAAGAAAACAGTAAAGATTTGAAATATGAAAACAACTTTCTGAGAGATAATGCATTTGTTTGACACATTATGTATCAGAATAATAGATTTGAGTTCACAAATGAAAAGTTTGATAAATACTATGAACTTTCATATTTCAAAACCAACCTTATAATTACTCTAAAACAAACATTTGATGGATATTCTCATATAAAAACATCTACCATAGGCACTTTAAATAAAGTAATAATTATTAAAACTAATATTTCTAGTTTACATTATGTTCAACATAATTTCATGTCTAGACATGGAACAACCTTTAATGAACAATGTACTTTTCTAAATAAATCTTACGTAAATAGTGCAGTTTTCTACAAAAGTCTTTCATAATTTTTAATTTTTAGTAAATAATTTTCCTATACAATTTGTTCTTAAATAATGCATTTCTCTATACAACTTTAAAATAAAGAATTTTTTTGCACAATTCTTGAGAAAGCAATGCATTACTGTGCTTGAAAAAAATCTTGTATTCATTGCAGTTTCTATAGAATTTTTCACTAAACAATGCATTTTTCTATACAATTTTCTGATAAACAATGCATTTTTCTATACAATTTTCTGATAAACAATCTATATAAATAAAATAAGAGTTTTGTCTGTACATTGCTTAGAATCGTGTACTTTTTGCATATCTTCACGTTTCATACACCAGAGAAGCCGAAACAAGCTTTATCTCAATTTGTCTGTCTGTCTGTCGGTAACGCTCGCGGACATGTTTTTGTTCGCTTTTCACGGGAAAACGAGTGCACCGTTTTCTATGAAACTTTTTCTTTGTTTTATAGATGTGTAAGAAGGTTATAGGCTACTTGAAACTGTCATACGCCTTTTTGAAAAAAATGGTCGCCGCTC